GATCTTGATCAAATCATAAAATGTCTTTATAAATGTATATCTGATAATTTTTGCGTACACTGATGTGAATATAACACTTATTATAAGAAATTGTTTTATATACAAAGTAGATTTAGTTATTTTATTTTCAATAATTCAGTCTTGAAGAAAAAGTTTGTTTATTTCTCTTACTAATTTTGATTTCTTGTTTCTTTGATTTTATTATTATTTTTTATATTAATCATTTTATTTATTGTCTTAATTTTGATTTTCAATTTCATTGAAAATGACTGAAACTAAGTTTTTAGTTGAATTTTAAATATATAATAATAATAAATAAATTTTTTAATAGAATAAAAAGTTATGAGATAAATTTTTTTTATCGTTAATTAAAAATCTTGTTAAAATAAGTATTAAATAATAAATTACACCATTCTGGTAGAGAATTTCAATTTTATTATATATTTGCATATATATGGTAAAAAAGACTTGCTTCCGCACTTCATTATAATGACTTCATTAACACTGTAAATTAATCACATATTATAAAACAACGATTGCATGATCTTAATTTTCAGTAGTATATTGAATGAGATTCTTTAGGATTGCTCTGTGGATATGAAATTATACCTGTCGTTGAAAACAACCGCAATCACACTTTCCACCTCATTCACAAACATTTCTTAATCACTTGAGTCCCATTTAAAAAAAATTGTTTCTACCTCATCTCGTAGAATTTTACATAAACATTTATTTTTCTTTAACCCCTTCACAGTCTATAGTGAAAAAATCGTTCTTATACAAAAAATTATGTTTCAAAAAAATTGGTCTAGTACGAGTTACGCTCGCTTGCCTAAGGTTCCGATCACGATTATTTAAATTTAAATATTTAAATATAATATTTCAAAAGGGTTAGCTATATTTTTCGTGAAATCTACACATATAATTAAATATGTGTACCAAGTTTCAGATTCTTAGCTCCAAAATTGTAAAAGTTAAGGGGAGACACACTTTTTTCCGAAATTTCGAGTTTTTTTTTTAACGGAACCCTAAAAATTGGGTCAATTAAAAATTCTTTTTTTTGTTACTATATTTTAGATTTATCATTTAGAGTTCTTTAATTTGACAGAAAATTTGGATTCACCACCAAGTAATAAGTTTCATACCAATTGGGTCAATTTTTTTTTATGTATTTTCTCCCCATATACGATTCGCCATTTTGAATTTTTTAAATCTGATATCAAATTTTACAATTATTTATCAAGCAATGATAAATTCGAAATATTACTTCAACTTTAATTTTTTGCTTTTTATAATTTTTTCTATTTAATTATTATTATTTATTGTTGTACAAATTTTTCTTTTATTTATTATAATTTATAAAAAAATTAAAATTATATAATAATACTGCATGTATCTAATGAAAAATTGAATTAAAATAATTAATTGTTTTCTAATTAATTGCGTGTCTTGAACGTTTAATTATTAAATTAATTGAATCTATACTCTAGTAGGAATTATAGGAATATATTGAAACGGGAAAATTTAGATTCTATCTGCCTATAAGAAAAAGGAAAAACTAAGAAAATATATAACATCGATGATAATCAATCGGAAGTAGCAAATTTACAGCAGAAATCATAGATGATAATCAACATTCTCGTTGAAAATCATTAACTTTCTCCCAACTCTATTGAGATTCATGCACACTCTAGTTCATTGCTTCAAATACAAGAAGAATAATAAGATCAATAAAATATATTTATGTCAGAGATCTAATTCTTTTGATTATCATGGAATCTAAAATGTTGTTTACATCGTAGATGCAAATGTGTATTTTTTTAAAAATAATTTCATCTATATCGTATTTCTATAATATAAATTATAAGAATTAGAATTAAATATATAATAAAAATGTGACTTGTTAACTTTATAAATATTTTTCTATAATTTTGAAATATAATATAATCAGTATATAGTGATTTATCAATAATAGAAACAATAAATTTTAAAATGTATGATACTTAACCTACTGATTAAGCATTATGTTTTCATAAACTGACCGAGTTCAATCGACGAACGAGAACTGGCAATAAAACTCGTCCAGGCGTTACAATACTTCTGTTTCTTGTTCTTTTTTCCCTGCTTCTTTTTAACATGCTTCAATGTATAGCTGGCATTTCGTCTATACTAATTTTAACTTACAATAATCAGACAAAACAAAAATGTTAACATATTTACTATACATTTAACTATCTCAGGGAAAAGTTTTCCTTGTAAAATAGTTATTTCATTCTAAAAACTTAGGTATTTGACTTTCAAAGAGAATATTTTCTATTTCAAAAGTAAGTGAGTTTATAAGTTCTTAAAAACGAATAGATATTTTTAATTATATTTTAAACCACAGAGTTAAGGTAGTTCAAAATTTAAAAACCATTCACTTAGAAAATAGTTGTTTGCTATTTAATACAAAAAATTATTATTTACATAATTTTTGTGATTTAAATAAAATGTTTCATACTTTTTAAATTCACAATTTTTAATATTTTTTTCTAATAACAGAAATATATTGCTTCATTTTCATGTTGTCATTGACTAAAAAATTTCACTATCTAAATGTCTGACTAAACTGTTCCGTTTCTACTGAAAATCGATTTATTCTAAACTGTGAATAAATACACAAGAAATATTGTACTATAATGACTGTAAAAACATACAACTATATCGATTATCGTAAAAATTACTAAAAAGAAATGTCTGACTAAACTGTTTGTTCTACTGAAAACAAAAATGAATTCAACAAAAAAAAGATTGTAACTATAAATACAAATAAAGACATAAAAATAAATTGATATATAGAGGAGAAAATTTCAATACATATAATGTGTATAAATATTTTCGTTTCCCACTAAAAAATAATAAATTCAATAAAGGAACTTCAATTGTAAATACTGTAAAACTACATAAACAAATGAAGACATAAAATTAAAATTGACTTACATATAAATATGAAATAGAAAACAAAAAAAAATATATAAAATATTTTAATGAATTTACATTTTTACTGGTGATAAGTTTCAAATATACGATCCAGTTTCATTTTAAACAAAATTATCTTCAGTTATCCTACTTTTCCCAGCGTACTTAAATTCCTAATTGTGGTTGTAACACTAATAATAAATGCAAACATTCCATATTTATACACCTAGAAAAATTTTTTATTCAATTCAAATGTTATAATTTATTTGAATTAAATAAAAATTTGTCTCATATAGCTAAATAACTATATTTATTTAGCGCAAGTGAAATTTTTATTTGGCACAAATAAAATTTATTCGAAACAAATAAGTTATTTATTTCGCTCTGAGGTAAATATATATATATATATATATATATATATATATATATATATATATATATATATATTTCTTTCTTGATTTATTTTTTGCATTTCCAAAGTTTCGTGATGCTTGTGAAAAATAAAGAGAAAATGCCAAATTATAATAAGTGCTTCATCATAAAAATTGGCATTAAAGGGATGCTCGATTGTCTTGAATGATATTGCATGTTTACTACTTTTTTTACTTTTATATTGCACTTGATTCTTTTTATATTATACTAAACTGTACACTACAATGTTTAATACAAAATTAGTTACTATTTTATACTCTACTTTCACATAAAGGAAATATTTTTTAAATTGTTACCAAGAAAACTATATTAGATTTTCTTTTACAATAATTTAGAAATTTCGTTATTTTCTATTTTTTTAGTCAATTCTTCATGTTTTGGAACTAATGCCAAGGACAATACAACACAAAAATGTTTTAATAAGTTACATTTGAGAAACATTTCAGTCGTTAATGCGCCATATTGAGTCCGCCATTTTGAATTTTTTAAATCTTATCTTTTTTGATTCAACGACCCCGAAAACTGCGAAGTACTGAATTTTGAACGAATTGAATTAATTTTAAAATTTTTTTGTCATATTGGATCGCCATATTAGGGCCGCCATTTTGAATTTTTTAAATCTGATCTCAAATTTCGATTCAGAGACTCTAAAAACCTTCATAGTATCGAATTTTTAACAAATCGAATCAATTTTAAATTTTTCCGCCATATTGGGTTCGCCATTTTAAATTTTGTAAATCTAACATCAAATTTACAAAAATTTTCAATTTTTGTATAAATTTATAGAAATTTCCCAAATTTTGAATGAAATTCTTTAATTCTTAATTTAGTTAATACTAAGCAATAGAATTTTCTATTTAGATATATGAAAGCTGGAAAAATATGAAAAAAATATCTATTAAAATAGATATCAAATTTTATATTTGAATTAATTTATAATCTGTGACGCACTATGATGTAATAGACCTATGATCCAAATAATTATAAGTTATGTTTCTTTTAAATTTACTTTGATTAAAATTATTTCTTTTTAATTAAAATAAAAATTAATTTTTATTGAATATTTTGATAATGTAATAAAGACAATGGTTTGCATATTGAATGTTTCTCTAGATGAGAACGGAAAAGTTGTTTTATATCGGGGTTGTTGATCGCGCAGATGAAAATCAAAACCATATCGTGTGTAATATCAACAACTTATTGTGTATGCTCTCTCATAATCTAAACAATATCGCATAATAGAAACAATTTACATTCAAAATAAAAATTGACTAGCGCACACATATATATATATAGGATATTATAATTTATAAATGAGTAATATGGAAAATTGACGACTATTTTCCGCATATTTGCCAAGAGTGCAATGCGGGGCTTCTTCCGCAAAAGCTTTTTAAGGCCCGTTTGGCATGAGGGTCGAGGGATACTTACTTACCGGGCTAACACGCTATTGTTTTGGTTCAGATGCGGGCCGTCTATGTTTTGTTTTTCGTGTCGGGGGCGTTAAACAGCGCGTGTATATTAGGCGCGACTTATACAACGCGTGTTATATGGCAGGATATGCCAAGTCGATATGGAAGGAGATATTTAAACGTACTCGCTCTCATAGCTATCAACTATATAAGAAGCGAGTTGCACGAGTCCAGTTTGATTAGTCGACAGCAGTTCGAATGGAATAGAGTAGAATAGAGTTCTAGTTTCAAGTTTTTTTTCTCTCCCCTATCATCTTAAAAAAAAATAATAATAATAATAATAGTGATCCCTCAAATAATAACAAAAAGGGTGATATCCAAATATTGTGTAGTTTTTTAATTCAGTTTTCTGAATTTGGATTTTTTAAAAAAAAGGATTAGTGAACCTTGAGAGTGGCCGATGACGAGGTTACGTGGAATTTGCCTAATTGGCCTTCTTCACCTCCTTGTCGTTATTGACCTATCTCAAGGTCGAAGCGACTATGGGAAATTTTTCGAAAAGTGTACCATCGAGAAGAATCCATTCGATTGTTTCAAGAGAAGGGCCCTTGAGGTCCTTGACTCGGCGATCAAGGACGATACCGTTTATGTGATCAATGATTATATCTCGATAGCAAAAGATTCAAATGTAAAGAGTAGTAGTAATAGTAATAGTAATAGTGGTAGCAGTAGTAGTAGTAGTAGTAGTAGCAGTAATACTAGTAGTGACGAGGGAACGGATAATAATACCACCGAGAGGAGTCTTGATCAGGAGCTTGATCAGAAATTCCATGATTATCTTTCGTCTAGGAGTGTTCGTCTCACGATCCCTGGTGATACCTTTGAAGGTATGTGTTGTTAGGGATACTTGTTAGGTCTTTTGTTCTTGATCTTAAGGGCATTTTTTCAAGATAATAAAATTAAAAAAAAAAAAAAAACCTTCATTGTTCTGAGATAAAAATTTGTTTTCTTTTTTGTTGTTGTTGAAACTGATTGTCCTAATATCTCGATGGAATATTTTCTAATCGGAATTTCATATTTTTTTCTGCTATTTACAGGGCGTGGGAAAAAGAAGGGGAAGGGGTATGGAGCTGCTTTGATGATGGGAGGACTTGCCATGGCAGGTAAGTGCATACCCACGTGTGCTGCGCTCGTGATAAATCATCACTGTATTTATGTATAATCATACGTAATAATCAAGTTTGCGTGTAATAATTAGATGTGCATTCGTATAAATTATTTTAATTAATAATTACAATTTGAGTTATTAAATACAATTTTAATTATAAAGTAAAGTTGAATTTTATTTTAATTCATTTTTATATTAAAATAATACTTCACAATTTACTGTTGGAAACAATTTGAATTAATTAAAATACTTTGATATATAAATTAAATATAACTTCATTAAGGTATTAGTCGCGTAAAATCATTTTCGTCAGATATTTTTTAAATTTTGCATGAGTGTTTCTGACATAATTATCTACAAAATAAGACCATTCCCATCGATTTTGACCGTTCCTAAGCTTTAAAATATCATTTCAAAGTTGATACTTTTTACATGGACGGAGCACCTAATGCATGTAAGGAATTTGCTTTATAATTATTTAAATAAAAACCAGTCGTCAGATTTTAAAATAAAACTACCACATAATACATTCTCATGAAACGAATGCATACAAAAAAACTGAAATTTTTTGACCGTACCAAACTATAAATATATTAGGAGAAAGTTAACAAAATTTTAAATTATATGAAGTTCCACTGCTGGAAAGCAGTACACTTGGCAACGCTGTAGCGCGCGAATGCATACAAAATTCAAAATCATGCAAAGTACACAGTAAGAAAGTAAGAATATCTCATAGAGTAGAATAAAAAAATAATATATTTAAAATTTCACAACATAGATTAGTATTAAATATTTCTCAATTTTTTAAATTAAATCATATATTTTAAGAAAAATAAGAATGAGAAACGTTAAATTGGTTGGTTATATTTCAACAGTTAAGAAATAAAAACATTTTTTGATGAAATATTTATTTTTTACTTTATAAACCAATTTATAATACATTATTGATGTAAATATTAATTATAAATAATTAAAAATTATTTTTCAAAGAAGCATACTTGAATTTTTTTTAATAATATTCACATCTTTAATTATTAATTATTCTTAGTAAGTCTCATACTTTTAAAAAGTTTAAGCATTTATATACATAATTATTAATCATAAATAATTCAAAAATAGCTTTTAAAGAAGCTAAACACTTTTTGTGACTCCAACATTCAGTAGCACTGGTACATTCAGATTGCGACGTTGCCGCGATCAAAACTTTAGTTCTACACGTGCGAGAACGCGGCGCTCTGAGTGAAACTTACCTGTACCCTTCAAAAAGTTTGACTCAGAACTATACCTCTTGCTAAGCACAGACTGAGTCAGACTCAAGACAAACTTTTGGTTAGAGCCGGCGCGCGACTAATACCTTAATACTTTGATTATTTAAGGAGAGGCACCAGCCACAATTTTGATCCACTTAAATTTAAATTATTAAACAAGATTATATTTTTTTATCTTGCATCATTTGGGTCCTAAAAACATACAGGTTGGTCAAAAAAATAAAATTTCTGTCCATTTTAGAAATAAAGGTCTTAAAAAAATTAATAGTTGATTTTGACAATTAGTCGGAATGACTAGGGAAGCTTATCAGAATAGTTACATTGGCTATAATCACTTTGACTAATTAAACTTTAGCAAAATTGACTATAGATACATGCGATATTAACCAAACAACTTAGTTAATATAACTAGGAAACAAGGGGTCAATTCTACTAAATCGACTTTGACAATATTCACCAAGCTACATAACTGAATTGACTAGGATGCTTGGTTACGCTGACTAGATTTAAAGTTGCTATGGTTAATAGTCATTAATGCGAAGCAAATTTTTTTCAGTGTAGTATAGGTATAATTTGAACTATAAAGTAGATTTTAAAATGGTTGTTCAAAAGAAAGATTCAGAAAAAATACTATAAATATAAAATGTAAATTTAAAAATCAAGTTCAAACGTCAGTTTCAGAAACTAAACTGAAATGTTTAATTCAAAACTCAAGAATATAAATTTTGAAATACGAATTTGAAAAGTAAATTAAAAATACAATCTTATAAGGGAAATTCAAAAGATAAGATTGGGAAAGTAAATTTGAAATAATAAGTAAAACAAATTGTCATTTTCTTTCACAAAAAAAATTTGAATAAAATTCATCACAATAAATAATCGAGATCGCAAAAGTTTATGCTAATATAAAAATATATATAAAAGTGTCAACAACGATTAAGTAATCCTACTACTGTGAAATTATCTAATGAATAATGGAACAATTTCACGATTGTTGTTTATGATACAGTAACCCAGTTTTTTCTCACCTTTGTTTTCCGTATACTTTCTATTTGGAGCATACAATTTACAACCGACATAATTTTATCTTTTATTTTTTACAGGTGTACTGGCACAGTTGGCATTCGGGAAAATAGCATTCCTCGCAGGAACTGCATTATTAACGGCAAAAATTGCTCTCGTATTAAGCGCCATCATTGGATTGAAGAAGCTGGTCTCAAGCGGTGGTGGTGGACATGAAGTCATTTATGCCACAGCGTCTGAACATCATGGAGGTGGTGGTGGCGGCGGCGGTGGTGGTTACGGTGGAGGCGGAGGTTGGCAACGAGCCCTTGAAGCAATAACACACTCTTGAAATTATTTTTCTAGTACAATATTCAACTTCTAGTTTGACTCAAATTGATGCAATTAACCGCCATTTTCTCAAGAAATGTGAATAATATTATATTGTTCATATAACTTGCCTGCGAAGACTTTCATCTTTAAATTATAAGTATCAATTTCTAACCAATTTTATTTATTTATTTATTTAGTCGTAAATAATCAATAAATTGAATATTTACGGTAGTTAAGGATTTTATTATTAACGATTTTAGATCAATTTTTTCTTTTGTAAATTGATAATTTTTCATTTGATCGAATTGTAAAATTGAGAATTTGAATTTTGAAGAATTTAATAATATTATAGTCAATGATTTTGTTTAATTTATTAATTGATTATTGATATTATTTAAGAATTTTTTAGAATTAATATAAGTGGTGGTTGATTCATCGGCTACATCCAAAATTATTGTTACTTATTTGTATTTCTTTGATTTCCTATTAAAAAAAAAAAAAAACGTTTTTATAAAGACGATTTTTATAAATATATACACAATATTTATTTTATATATTATTTATTATCTGTTTAAAATTTACCTATACTTAAGTTATCTTCTGTTTTATTCTTGTTTAATACCGATATATAAATAAATTAATAATCATTTGCAGATTACTTTGAGGTATAATTTGAAAATATGTTATCATGTAGAATCTGCAAGTAGCATTAGCAGTTTTATCATTTCTTAATTCCTTCGAATTTGTTCTTTCAAAAATTCATATTTTCTATTATTATCCTTTATTACTTTTATTGTTTGGAAAGATAAATTTTAATTTTAATTCTGGTGAAAAAGTACCTGCTCATAATTGTTAGTTTTATTGTGGAGAACAAATGATGTCGATTGTCCTGAATTAATAATTAAGTTTTTTTTAATTTTTTTGACAATTTCCTTCCAGACAAAGTAAGTAACAAAAGCACTCACAAAATTCATTATATACAACCACCTTTTTCAACGGATAGAATGTATTTTGTATTATAACATAATTTAGAATTTGATTATTTTCAATGAAATAAATTTCCCCCAGTTTGCTGTAGTTTTCAAGAGCGATTTTTTAAAGAACTACAACAAATCACAAGATGAACGAAATCGGTGAGGTACACAGGAAAAACAAAGTGTAGGTTTTAGTATTGGAGAAAATTACCCGCAACAAAAATAACATCAGCTTTTTTCTGTGTATACACCTGGGTAATGTTCCTTGTAAGTGTCTTTGTAATTATTTATCAGGAATGCAAAAGGAACACAAATTGCATAGGTAATTTTGTTAATTATTGACGAATATTATTACTAATATTAATGAAGAAAATAGACATGAGCACTGTATTGCGTCACTTGACGTATACAATTAACATCACGAAAAATTTTCACACTTACAAACAATTTCATTTATTATCCACTATCTACATTTGTCGCTTAGGTCGTTATTCAGTAGTATCAACACACAAAAGTGAGTCAAAGCGACAAATGTAGATAGTGTATTTTTAAATCAGGACGACAGAATTGTTTCGTTGGTTTTTTATTTATTTTTTTCACTTGAAAATTCGCCTTTTTAATTTATTATTTTCCTTATTTTTACTACACTTTTTCCTCGAACAAATTTTTAATAGCTTCAATTCAGGTGAATGATCTGCAATTTTTAACAAGAATAAAAATTTTATAATTATATTTTAAACAATTGATTAATTTTTTTTATACAACTAAGTTAAAAAATATTTCTACTATAGTGTGAATTTTTTTTTCTTAATTGGATGATAAATTGACAATTATTATTAGTGAACAAATTTTATAAATTTAATAGAGACATATTCCGTTTAGAAATTATTCCGATCAGTTATTGCCTCGATGTTATCCCAAAAAAGTTCTCTACAAAAAATGTATGGAAATAATTTTTTGAAAAAATTTAATTTTAAAAATTCAATTGGTTTACATTTTTTGAAGCAGGGAAAACTGCTAAGGTTTTGAATATCTCTATTTTAAATAGGTCAAAGTGGGTCAATTTCTGCATGGGATCTAAAAACTAATTTTATTCTTTATATAGTAATGTGAATTAAATTAAAATATAAACTATTCTTACCTAGTTTGAGTTTCAATTTTCCTTTCAGAATTTCAAACAGAAAAGCGATCAGAGAAAGAAAATATCCAATAGCTAATACATTCGATAGTACAAAAATAAGTATTTCTTTCTTAATTATTTCTGGCTTTGAAATTTTGGTTCTTGGTACTGCAGAAAGATGAAAATCTTCCATTAATCCAAACTCAAAGGCACTTCGAATTATTTTATTGAACTGATCATTATAAGGTGTGTTATAATCCATTTTCAAGCAGGTTAAATCTTGATGTGTAATTTCCTGTAGTATTTTAACATTTATCTCTTTTTTAGTTGCAAAGTCATTGACAATATTTTCAGCATTAGGGATAAGACAAGATATGTTCTGATGTTTAACCAAGTATCTCAAACAATCATATTTCCATCCTGCATCACTTTTGTGCTCGGCCTTTTGGCCTATTTGCTTATAATAGGGAGGAGCTGTTTTTTCTCTAAATTTAAGCAGAGCTTCCCACGGCATAATTGTCATTAAAGGTGAATTAGCAAGTTCTTTGAGATTTGATATTTCATCAGATTCTGATCTCCAGGTGACGTCTATTATTACTAAATAAAAATAACTTGAATAGACGATGCATGTTATCAATAATGAACCAAAAATTATTCTTTCCAACTGTTTTTTTGGTTCCCGATAAGGAGGCAATCCAATTATGATTTTACTGATGTTTAATATTTGCCATGCGCTTTTTTCGAATCTCATACAAAACGATGTCAATCGAATAATGACAATCATGACAATTGTTCCCAAGACCAAGTACCAAAATTCTTCTGTCAAAATTATGCCGTTAGAATGTTTTATTTTTTTTGGAATAACAAATTTATAAAAATCATATTTGAGAATTTTTAATTGCTTATCATCATATAAATCTATGTCAATTGCAACAATCGATGGAATAACAGCATAATCATTAAACCATTGGTTTACAAATAAATATTTAAAATTCATTTTATGTTGTAGAATTCCCATTCTTTTAATTTTCATTTCGTTATTTTCACTCATATAGATTGGTGTTAAATTAAAGAATTTTAGTTCGTATCCATTTAGATCGTGTAATTTATTTGGAAACCATTGACTGTCAGATGACACTTTCCCTGAGAAAAATTCATTAGTAAAAGGATTTATTAGACTTATTTCAGGTACCTCGTATAATTGACTTTTGTTGAACATCACTTTTCTTTGTTGATTGTGGGACAATAAAGTAATATCTAAATACTTATTTTTCCAAAAAGAATGCAAAGTATCGTTAAGATACTTGGGACTTAAAAGAAAAGGATTTATAATTAATAATCTTGGATTTGGTGCCATGAAATATTTCTTTAGTAACTGTTCATATTTCTTAGTTTCATTGTAAAAAACAAACAATGTCGAATGTCTGGATAGATAATTAAATTTATTGAATTTTTTTTTAATACTTGTGCTATTAAATATATCATAAGTCATAATTAATGATGGAAAATTCGTAGTGACTGATTTTATAAGAGAATTCATTATTGAATCTGTATTATTGAGTTGATTGTTAAGTACAAAAACTACTTGATGCACTTTAGATTCCTCTTGTAGATAATTTATTAATCCATTATAATAACTATTTTCCAATGATACTCCTAAGATTTCTTTCGACAAAAAGTAAGTAATAAAATACACACTCACAAACTTCATTGTGCACAACCACCTTGTTCGACTGACATTTGGTTACTTCCAATATAACAACTGTTCCCCAGTGTCGCCAGGTGGAAAAATTATGCATATAAATTTTGATTAGTCATTATGCATTGTGCATATCAATCTTCTCTAATCAAGGTAGTGGTAAAATAATAACCCACCATTTAATATTCCAACAGAAATGTTGATCTATTTAATTAATTTTTAAAAAATCGTCCTTTGTGAATTTCCCTTATTAAATTGACGTTTAATTTTAATAAGCAAAGTGCAATTATTATTTAATAAACTAAAGGCATAAAAATGTTTCCTTTAGGGTTTTTGGAGTCGCAAAATCCAAATTTGAGGTCAGATTTAAAAAATTCAAAATGGCGCACCCAATATGGCGGAAAAATTTTAAATTGATTCGATTCATTCCAAAATTCGGTACTAAGGGGTTTTTTGGGGTCGCTGAACCCAAATTTGAGGTCAAATTGAAAAAATTCAAAATGTCGGACCAAATATGGCAGAAAATTTTGAAATTGATTTGATTCGTTCAAAATTCGGTACTCGGGGGTTTTTGAGATCTATGAATACAAATTTTGAATTTGTTAAATCTGACCTCAAATTTGGATTCAGCGACCCCAAAAACCTTAAAGGAACCATTTTCATGGAAAACTGGTCAATTTTTAAATTCTTGGGCGCCATATTGGGTCCGCCATTTTGAATTTTGTTTTTAATTTCGAGACAATAAAATTAAATAAATATTGTTTTGTGGAATTAAAAATAAATAAAGAATATAAGGATAGTTATGTACATCCTTATATATCGTTATTAGAAAGTACTTTTATTTCATTGACAAATTGTGATAAAAAAAAAATTGTCTTATTACATTTATTTATTTATATTTATTTTATTAGAAATAAATAATAATAATAATAATAAAAAATGATGTAGTTAATCGACAGATGTTCAATGCCGACAGAGATTGTGTAGAGTAAACGAGTATCTCACACCTGGAAAATCAAATTTTATTAGCGTCTCCCCTCTCTTCTAATGTCAACAACTCCACAAGTGGGAAACATTTGTTCTGACATCCCTGCAGTTGGTATTTCCTTAACAATTTATTGGTTCCTTTACCCTACCAATTATTTTCCCTAATTTTAGTTTCAATATGAGTAGAGTAGATGTTTTAATAAAAAAAAAGTGTATTACATTATTATTAGTTTCTAAGTAAATTAAACCATTTGCAGGTGGTTCAAAAGTTGAATCACGTCGATGAAAATAAGACCATAATAAGATTATTGAAATATACAAATATTAATATAATATGATAGTAAATTTGTTTCTCTGTAATTCGGATTAAGTGGAATAAATAAATATGGTATATTGAAAATTAACTCCATAATAAAATTATTATTAATTAATTAATTATTATTATCTCATAACTTCTATAATTTTCAAGCTAATTTAATTGGTTTTCCAGGTTCATTTTTGTTGCACATCAAAATGAGCCGCCTACACGCATCATTCTGAGTTCAGTTTTTTCAGTGTAAAACCGAGGGTTCCGTACCCTTAAACCTAAAATTTAAGGAAGTTAAAGTGTGAAGGCAGGTGGAAAAATTCCAAATTTGCTTAATTTTCCCTGTAATGTGAGCATGAAAACACATAGATAGAAACATAGTCACATATATCGAAAATTATCAGTTTTTTTTTTGAAAACGCTATGATCATCAACTCCAATCGTTCTCGCTATATTTTTTTTGTAATCTACACGTAAAAATACGTAAAAATGTATAAATTTGAATCCCTTGAGATAAAATTTTCTTCTCTTTTCATTCGAAAAATCAATGATTTTTTCTAAAAATATGAGTTTTCCTTAAAAACAATATGATCAAAAACTGTAACAGTACTTTCTCAGTAATTAGAATCAAAAATGCAATTTCCATTTGGAAAATTAATAAACGCTAAAAAATACACGACCTAAGATTTACTAATCACGAAAATAACAAAAAAATTTTATTAAATATTTAACATATTGATACTGCTTTACTGATTGTGACAGCCCTTTGGTAGATTATGTATTTCAGGTGGTTAGCAACAGCGCCAATCTCCTCCTTTCGGCTAAACTGCGAAACGTCTGGTGACATATATAACCTGCCAAACGGCTGTCATAATGAGTAAAATATGTTATGTTAAAATACATTTTTTTTTGTTATTTTCGTGATTGGTAAATCTTAGGTCGTGTATTTTTTAGCGTTTATTAATTTTCCAAATGGAAATTGCATTTTTGATTGTAATTTCTGAGAAAGTACTGTTACAGTTTTTGTGAAAAAAGTGCTCATATTTAATTTATTGACATGAAATTTTTTTTATTATTTTAACTCAAAAAAAGTTTTAGCTGGTGTATATCTTGCCAATAATCAATTATCCATAAAGGAAAAAGCATTTTACCTTCTTGTTTTCAAGAAAAGGCTGTTGAAAATTTTCCAAAATTTTAGTTTCAATGTAGATGGCGCTGCCTCATTTGGACCTGGCCTTAAACGCTTTTTTTTCAAAATTTTTGATTTTTGCTTGACAACGCTATGTAAATCGATACGAATCATGTTCGCTATATTTTTCCTGTAATTTTCACGTAAAAATACATAAGTGTACCAAATTTGAGCTCTCTATGTGAAAAAATGTGACCACCAGGGGGGGGGTACATAGTCATATTTAGGAATTTTTCGGAAAAATTCATAGTTTTTCCTTAACAACGCTATGATAATAATCAATTCCTATGAGATTCGCTATATATTTTTCCTGTAATCTACACGCCAAAATACATATGTGTACCAAATTTCAGCCTTCTAGATAAATTCGTGTGGCCGCTAGGGGGGGGGTACATGCCTTGCTTCACTAGTCTCATTAGTAGGGTTCCCCCTTCGGGTACGTAACCCTAAAAAAATGAAAAAAAAATTAGCCTCGAACTAACTGAATTGTAATTTAAAAAATATTTTAATTTATTAATTTTAGTTGTAAATTCTAATTTAATTTCTGTTTCTTAAATTTATTGTACTTTTTAATTTTAAAAAGAAATTTATTTACTATAATTCAATTTTAACTTAAAAATTTTACCTGAAGGAAATAAATTTCAGTAGATAATTGTGAAAAATTTCAATAAATGCAAGTAACTATATATGAGTTAAAATGCAATTTGAAAAATAAAAGCAAGGCAAGGGAAAAATATGTTGTTTCTTCCTTCCTATTATATGAAGGAAAATGCAACGGTCAATATTTCCTGCTTCTTCTATTATAATGCTTTTTATGCCACATAAACAAATAATTTCTCTTATCTCGATTTAGTTATTATGCGCCAGTTCAGCTCCGTTTTTCCTGTAATGAGATTGACCTAAGTATATAAATATATATATATATAAAAGCAAACTTAACGCAGAGTGAATAGGAGATAGATTTAAAGATATATACATATATCCCAGGTAAGGTTACACAGAAGAAGCGCACAAACGATATTTACGATGAAGATTCCCCTAGACATTATAAACAGTATATATTTCATTCGAGAGAAAAGTTATATATATTCCGCTCCTTTTCTTCATCGCAACTATAATTCTGTATGTCAGGAGGAAATTCTTCTTATATATATATAAATAAATACTGGAAACGTCGAATGTTCCAGATATGTCGTTAAATTGTAAATCTTTATTTTATTACCATATACGGGCGTGTTTTTGTAGTATGTAATTTGTTTTCAACATTGTATCATATACTGTAGAAAAATGCTGCGTATTTTTTATTAATATAGTTGTCGTACTGCGTTCTAACAAGCAACAATCAAAAACCGTTAAAAACTTAAAAATTAGGAGGGAGAAAACTCACTTCAATATCGCTTTTTATTTTCTTCTGTATTTAAAATATGTAAAAAAAATAGTTAATTATATTAATTATTTTACACACAAGGTTAGTTAAGATTGTAGTAGGGGTTCTGTTTCGTGTACTTTTTAATTGATTTAAAAAATTTATTACTTGACTATTATCAAATAAATATTTGCCCATGTGGAAAGATTTCCGGAAATTCGATCCAATAAATAACTTTTCTCAAATAAATCCAGAAGACATTTCCGGAATTTTTCTAAAAATCCTTCCATATGGGTGAATAAATATTTACCTAATATATTTGAATTTAATTGAATCATATAATAAATATTTGATTTGATAGAAATATTTATTTAACAATAATAATCAAGTAACCGATTATTTGAATCAAACATATTTTTTTTTCAGTGTATGGTGTTAGAAATTGTTAATATTTTATAAAATATATAATAATTATTTACAAAAAATTCTCGACCATTCTTACATAATATTATTCCCTAATCTGATTTATTTAAATATCTTCCCAGTGCCTTTAGAAATAATTTTTAGACATATTTGCTCTACTTAATGCCAATAAATAGAAATTAATAAAAAAAATCACAAATTCTACTCACTTTAAAAAAAAAATTTTCATCGTAAATAACCTGTTCTTGAAGAAACAAATTAAAATAAAATGAACGATTGCTTCTTTATTTGTTGCATTTCTGTTTTTTTTTTTTTAGATGAGAAATATTTTACGAGAAGTTTTGTACTTGTTTTGAGAATTTTTGAAAAATTTTACAAAAAAATTATTAAAATTATCGAGCTCTTCTTCTCCTTCTTCTTCGATAACCACCGGTGTCATCAGGACTTCCATGATGATCATAATCGACGCTCGTACTGTGCGTATTAATATACGAATGATGTGGATGTTTCACAATTTCATAAGATGTTTTCTCAGGATGTTCTAAAAGAAAAATTATTTTATCTCCAGTACATATTTTCGCGGTGTAAAAAATTCACAAATTTTTATTTTTAGGGTTTCGTGGCTCAGGCCCGTGTAACATTAGTTTGAAAATGCGCGGGTAAATATTTATATACTAAATATTATCATATGTCAATAAATATATTACCGACCGCAGAATACACCGACGTAGTACTCGATTATGCCGCGCGAGCTGCATCGCTGAGCTCTCTCGCATGCGCCCAATCCACCGATCAGCTATATAAGCTGCGCTCCCGCAGAGAATCGTCACTATCGTGCTTCACAGAGTCGTTGAGGGTCTTACCCAGCAAGATAAGAGGTTTTACCACGAGGAATCTTACTTCAGGAGTTTTACTCCGAATATTATCGTAGAGAGTATGACTCTCGTTCAACGTGGTTTTACCCGTTGAACAGCAAATCCGTTTAATGTAATATAGTGTAAAGTAACGTAACACCATGTATAGTAAAGCAATGTAAAGTAACGTAACTCCAGTATAGCGATAGATTTCACGGTTCATTATATTTAGATTGAAGCCGATATCAGTAATTCATAGCTCAAATAAAGCGACGTTACCCAGATTGATGCCGATATTTTCTGATTCCGCGGCTGAACGTAACCCGATAGAAGCCAACAATCATTGCTAGAAACCGACTTCCTCGATTCACCAGTTACCTACGATATCTTTTTGACATTTGTAAATATATCGTGCAAATAAATAATTTGTTGTTGTTTGTAATTAACCCTGTTATTATTTTTGTTTTTGAATCATCGAACCTTGGCTCGGCGAGCTAAAATTGATTCTTTAATTACAAACGTTACACCCGAAAGTCTTCTAGTTTCGTTTTTGTGTCCGTCCGTCTGTCGTACACTCGTATTGTTGCCATGGTAACAGTTATCACAGCAACCGTTACCATGATAACTGTTACCATAGCAGTCGTTACTGTGGTAAATGTTACCTTAGCAGGCCACGAAACCCTGTAATGGAGGCGCCATGCGCCTGCTTCTCTAATATTTTTTTAATTCTAGAATAATTAGACCATTTATTAATAATATTATTATTGTGTACTAAATTTTTAATTTATAATTTCATCAGTTTATAAATTAAAATAATATCAAAATAAAAATTAATTATGATGATTCTGTTGAAATGAAACGATGGAATATGTTTTGTAGGTAATTCATAACTGCTACTTTTGAAATCAAAGTCTTTTTTTTATACAATTAGCCACACCTAAAGAACTTATATTATTTAGAAAATTCCATAAATTTCATTTTTTAATTTCTAAAGACATTGATATGGTTTTTTTTTTTATTGTTTGTATCCATATGTCAGTATCTGTTAAAGTCTAATTTTCTCACACACAGTTAGTTTTAAAAGCTTTATTTATATATTTTATTATATATTTATGTATACACATATAAAGAAATTAATACAATCCGGTCACTAGAAATTATTATTGAAATTAAATTGCGGACAAATTCATGTAACAGTTTTGTGAAAAGTAATCTTGTTAAAATCACAGCGGGTAGCCGAGTACAGTTTAAAAAGGGTTTGAAGCGGAACGAGGACACTTGATACATAACGTTATATTATATATATATATATATATAGAGAGAGAGAGAAATAATTTTACGATAGCAAAAATATTATAAAAATAGAAAAAAAATTTTTTTTTCTTATATATAAATATATACCACTTCGAAAAGAGACAAAATTAGATTTACAGTTGTGCATATACGCGTGAAATTTATCGCCTCTTATAAAAGTTGAAGTGTTTATTGCTGGTATTAAAATATCGGATAATTTGTTTATTTTAAATATAAACCAACTTTATTTACTTCTATATCGTATTGTACAAAGAATGTGAATGGAAATTGATGAATTTTCTATTGATGGAATTCGATATGAGTGATGGCAATTTTTTTTTTGTAATTGCTGAGATTAAAAATTAATTACGATTCTTACCTAAAGCTTTTTTTAAAGCAACTGCAGTTGCAATGGCTAAAGCTACTTTTGCAACTATCAGAGCTTTTGTAGCCAAGGCACCAACGACATGTATCATTGCATAGAGTAATGTTGCTTTTGCGACACCCGCCATCATCATAAACATTTTTCCATATCCCTTCTTCTTTTTTCCTCTCCCTAGAAATTATTAATGACAAAAATCAATATTTGAATACTGTAAAAAAAAACAAATTTGAAACTCCAAGCAAAAAGTTATAGTCGAATAAAAAAAAGGTATAAAAAAAGGTATAACTATACATAAAAATGTTCTGCATTAATTACTTTATTATTATTATTAAAATAATTAATTAATTTTTACTTTTATCTGGTTACTAAAAAGAGATTGTATAAAAATAACATACTTTTCAATTAAATTATATCATACCATATATGAATAAATACATTAAGTAGAGAAACATCATCTAACAATTATTTGGATTATACTTTAATTGTAGCCAATTTAGTTTTGATATTTGTAAGTAGAATAACGAGAAATTACAGTGTGCACTGAAAAGTATAATTGCGCATTTTATCAAATCTTTCTTTTGTATATAATTAAAACATCTTGCGTAACGATAAAAAAAAATATTGGATAAAAACTTTTATCAAATTTATTATTTTTAACCTCTGAATTTTTTAAACTTGAAATAAAAATATTTATTGGTAACTTTTTAAAAAGATTATAGTTATCAGTAACTTTTTATTTTAAATAACACAAAAATTTTTTGTTAAAAAAACAATTGTAATTATTTTTTATATATAAATAGAACTTAATTACTGTCAATTAAAGTAAATTAACTAATAATTTTTTTAAAAAAATTATTATCATTTAATTACTGCTAATTAATGACATTCAATTAATTATCACTGGTGTAGGTAATACAAGTAATTACTATCGCAAGTATAGAAGAGAAGATGGTTGATCAGATATTAAGTCAATTTTATAGAATTCAACAAATATCGATAAAGCTAATGACGATTAAATGGACTTACAATTAGTTTTACCTTTCACATATTTCTTTCTTTTCTACTTACGAATTTTTACGTTTTAATTTGAAATTAATTAAGTTTATGAGAAGATAGTCTATTATTAATTAAATAATTATAAATTAAAACAATTTTAAGTTTATTTTTATGTAATTAATATTAGTTAGTAAGCTCTACAATATTTTAGCAGATTGTGGGGTTTTATCGAAAGAAAAATTTTCAATAAAAAAGTTATTTTCGAAAAAAATTGACTTATGCTGCTTCGGCATCAATCAATTCAATTGGACATACATTTTGTTGTGCATATATGGTTAATGGTAAATTAATAAATTTATTTTAAATTATTGCAAAAAATTAATTTATAAATTAAATAATAAATTAAAATTAAGAAATAAAATTTAAAAAAAAAATATTTACAATTTTTAGTTTTGCTATTAAGTGGAAATATTTCTGTTTAGTCAGGCAGCAATCACTAAGCAAATTAAAATTTTTAGTTTTGTAATTATGTAAATAGAAATAATCTCGTTCAGTCAGAAAATTAAGTGTCAAGTATATTCTATTTTTGAGTTTTTCAAGTAGAAATAGACATTTTCAATCAGACAGTTAAGAGTTAAAGTAAATTCCATTTTTTTATTCAAGTAGAAATAGCTATTTTTGGTCAGACAATTAATCGCCAAAGTAAAAATAAAATTTTTAATCTTGCCTGAAGTAGAAATGGATAAGTTTAGTCAGACGTATCATAGTAAATTACAATTTTGAGTTTTGAAAATAAGTAGAAATAATCCGATTTAGTCAGACAAATAATCATCAAAGTAAATTACAATTTTGATTCTTTGCTGTAAGTGAAAATATTCCTGTTTGGTCAGACAGTTAATTTTCTATTAAACATCTCATTAAACGCTCAGTTCACAGCTATTTTACTCAATTATTACTCAAAAACTACTATTTAAACATTAAAACATTAGTAACAAAATTTTATATTTTCATTATATTCTACTTTTATAATTTAAAAAAACATCTAATATCAATTTTTCTTATTAAATCTTTTATTTTATTTAAGAGTTAGGAAAATATTGATATTTTCTGTTCTGTTTCTAGAAAAATTTTACACTCAATGAAACATTTTCTTGATACAACTACTAATAAAGATGTAAATTTAAATTTAAACAATTATTATAATTTAATTAATTGTGATCAAATTTCCCCCCCTCACCGTAATTGAAACACTTTTATGATTTTCATTGACTTCAATTACATTGAGCAAAGTATCCTCAAAATACACGCAATTTTAGTCACCGCAATTGAATCACAGAAGTTGATGCAAACGCGCCGTAATAGAAAATTACGTTATTCATTTTAGTTTCTTATTTGTTTAAATAGTGAATTTTTGTAATGTTTTAATTTTGTTTTATTATCTGAATAACACACGGAGAAAAATGAGTTTGCTATTATATGAATAGTGAATTTTTTATCTCTGGTAGCTAATATTTAGCGACCACTGCAAAACATGTTAGCTACACTGAGAAAAATGTTTATTTAGAGCAACCAAAATTTGGTTAAGCCAACAAAAAAATTTTGTTGGTATTTAAGCAACCAAACTATTTGTTTGAGTCAACCAAAAAATTTGGTTGAGTGTTTTTTGTTGGCATAACAAAATGTTTAGTTAGCTCAACCAAATTTTTTTTCTTAGGTCAACAAAAATGTTTGGTTGGTCAAACAAACAGTTTTTTTTTGTAAAATTAAAAATTTTATTCTACCTTATTTCTTTTATTTTTATCTTTTTTATTTATTTCACTATTTATTTATTATCAATTTAATATTGAATTTATATTTATCCAATTGAAATATTTGTGGACTTTGAAAAATCTCATTACCGTCTAAGATCGAACCTCTGTTTTAAAACTGAAAATCGGGAGTTCTGACCACTGGACTACCCATCCTTGTGAGAGATTTAAACTAACTGTTCTCTTAAGCTATGAGCTGAGAGCGAATCAAATTATTTGGTTGTCGCAACTAAATTTTGGTTAGGACAACAAACGATCATTTGGTTTTTTAGACCAAACTATTTTGTTGTGTTAAACAAATTATTTTCTTGTCGTAACCAAATTTTAGTTGGAATTTAAAAATGTCCAACCAAATAATTTTGTTGGCCTTACCAAATGTTTGGTTGAGATAACTCTACGACTTTGTATCAGCCAACTAAAATTTGGTTACAAGAACCAAAATTGCCTAACCAAACAATTTTTGTTGCAAACACTAAATTTTTTTTCTCAGTGTATGAAAAGCTAATTATTAGCTGTATTAGCTAACAATAATGGCTATCTATATAATAGCAATTGGGGTTAGCTAAAGTAACTAAATTTTAGCTAATATAACTATTTTTCTCCGTGCATAAGCTTTTAGTTTAATAAGTCGTAAATAGACTTTTTACAAAAAAAATGTGGAATTTTCTATTTCAAAGGCGCCTTGACTAGAATCGCACCACAACTAGCACATTTAATCTACATAAAAAATTTCAATTCTAAAAATAGAAAATATCTCTTCATTTGTCTATATATAAATAAAATCACTTTTTACCACTGAAATTTATCGCACTATTTCTCACATTGCGCGAGACGTAACATTGAATTTAATAGTCTTTAAAAATCACCTCTCAATAATATATTTATATATATATATATAAAACCACAGCAATTCACTCGCGAAATTGCTATATATACTTTATAACAATGCACATATTCCATCTATACAATATTTTAATCTTCCTACCTTCTTCAATATAAGTGTTTTCTCCATTCGATAGAACTTGCTCTTCATCATTCTTGAAAACCGCACTATTGTTGTTTGCGGTTACAATAGAATTTATTGTGTTACTTGCACCACAATCAGAGGAATAATTACTCCTACAATCAGTTGACAATTGATAATTGTAACGTGAATTGCGATTTATTGGCTCGGCTGAAATAGCGGCCAAACCGCCCAAACTTAATAGGGAAAAAGCAATCATCTGTCGTCGATGCATCTTCGACAGTAACTGCCCAGTAACTGACCAAAGCAATTTTTATAAAGCACAAAGTAATTAGTCGAACACGAAGATGTAATATTACGCCATACAGAGCGTGAATTCCCCTATGGTTGCGCATTTCATTTATATATATATATATATATATATATACAGAATCGTATAGGAAATCTTTGCGTATATATTCGACTTACTTGATCATCGCGTGGGAGTTTCATTAATTTTTCATAGAAACGTAGAAATGAAACTGTTATTTGTCCCGTAACTGTTTCGATGCATTTGGCAATTTTCCGTGCGAATAATTGGTATTTCTTTTTATTGATTATAGTAGATTTTTTATTGTATTTATTAACCTTGGCAAATTAGTATTGAAAAATAAATTTTAATTTTATTTCTTTTATTGAATTTTTTAATGATCTGCATGTCGTATCATTAAAATCTTTGCGAATTTCATTTAATCGTCAATTGAAGTTTTAAACTCAAAAATCAGTAAGAGAAGCAGGTTGGTTGATATGGTAAAAGTTTTAATAAAATCGGTTTCTATGAAAACGGTTGTCATGGTAAGGAAACCCTAAAAATATGTACTCGGCTCACATCAATGCTCGAAAAGAAACATTGAACTGTATATATAACGTAGAAATGAACGAAGCTGAACCAACAGAGGGGGCAACAATCACTGAAACACTCCTTTTAGATGGCGTTACAGTACAAACCGCGCAAAAGTTTAAATTCATATTTAAACTCTAAGAACTATGTCGAATATACTGAAAAATTTTATTTGATCTGCTTATTAGTTTTATTTATTATCATATATTATCCACTATAATACGTCTATCAAAGGATAAATTCATTTCTTCACTTTGATTTATTATTGTAATAATTAATCATGTACATTAAATTTCATTTTAATGTAATTTTTTACTTATTCAATAAATTGTACTGTATTTAATAAAAATAAAAGTGGAAATAATAATTTAAAGACAGGTAACAAATTTTATGAATTCATTTTTTTCGCTTACAACTTTTTCTTTATTTTCCCCCTATATTTATATTATATATACCCTGACAGATATTTACAGAGTTCACTACTGGCGCAATGCTTGTAACAGTATCGCGACAGTAGTCAATTTTTGATATGATAAGAAATTACTATTTTTCCTACTACATTGCAAAAAGAAGTATCTTATTATAAGACACATTGGAAGCAAGTTACCAAAAGTATCTTCCTATCTATCTTATATCTTAAGAAACTAATGCATTTTAAGATGTTTTTGATAACTTAGAAGCAAGTTGTAAAAAACATCTTAAAAAGGCGACCAAAACATCTTAAAAGAAGATACTTCTTTTTGCAGTGTAATTCGAAAATTTTACGTTCATTACATAAACATCGTATTCAATAAATTACAAAGAGAAACGACCCAAGTAGAAATATCCGTAGCTCGCCGTAATTAAACACCGGCATGGTACTGATCCAATACTGGCTGTCGGTATTGACTTTCAGTACTGGCAGTGTACTGACTAATACACCGAATCAGTACTATGTCGGAGGTAAAAAAATATTAAAACCAGTACTGGCAGTACACTGTCATTCACACCGAATCAGTACTATGTCGGTGATAAAAAACATTAAATGAAAAAGTCTTTAAATTATTCCAATAGGTAGAAAACGATGATTTTTTATTTAAAAAAATGTATATTAAATTCTTTCGAATACTTTCCCTCAAAATTTTGGATGTAATTGTAATGTATTATTATATACCTATATAAAATATATTTATGTTTTTTCAGTTATTTTAGTACTCATTGAAATATGTGCATTAAGTTATTTATCATGCATACAATAACAATAAGTTGAGAATTTTTTTCTAATAGTTTTAAAAATAAAGCAAATGTAATTTTTTCACTGTAATTTTTAAATATTATTAATAATTAAATATTAAATTTAAAAAATTTTTCACCATTCATATTTTACAGTCGTCTTTTATTAACTTATTTTTAATTATGTAATTCATCAATCATTTTTGTCTGTTTTAATATTATTTACGGTAAAAATAATTTATTAAAAATATTTAACTGAAATTGATATCCAGTTTTATTTCATTAAATCTTTGTAAAAATTGAAAAAATTTTATGAGTTTAAAAAATTTAAGAATAAATTCATTTTATTTTCGTGATCAATAGATAATACAAACTTTGAAATCAAAACTTTTGTATTAGGTGAACTACTTCAAGTCAGCACTTCAAGCCAGCGCGGCTGTGCGGTATGCGTATCTGACTTGCGTTCTAAGGGTTTAGGGTTCGATCCCCCATGCGTGCGAGATTTTTCGTTCTTAGTTTTAAGTGTTATAAGTACAATATTTGTTCATGTGTAATATCAATTATTAAATAATTATTAAATTAAGTATAAGTGCAAAGTAAAAAAAATTAAATATTATGAATTTAAAAAAATAAAAAAATTTACAACACAAATTATTTTTTGTAAAATAATTTATTAAAAATAAAATAATTTAATTAATATAAATGATAATTATTATTTTAATTATTTATTGTTAATAATATTTTATATATTCTAAATAACATTAACTATTATTGGCTTCACAGTTCGTGGTAAAAATGGGAGTAATAAGCTAATAAGGATGAAATTTGCATTGGAAAGCGTGTTTTAGCATTTTGTAAAAAAGTGAGATTTTAAGTCCGGATGAGTACTTTGCCAGTATTATTCTAGTACTGCGTTAGTACTGGTGAGCGGGACAAAATCATTACTGGACAGCGTTACCAGCCAGGGTTGGTCCACTACTGGCCCAGTACGGCAGTCAGTACCGTTATACTGACTGGCAGTGTTGGGTCAGTACTATGCCAGTGGCACATTTCTACTTGGGGATAGTTTTTGGTTATAGGCAGGAAAAAATATATCTATAAACTTTCCCTCAATATTTTTTATAGTAACCAATCACGACAGTAGTAGCAACCTCATTAATGAAATCCATGAAATCACAAATGAGAGAGTCCCTGAAAGATATGCTAGAGGAAAAAAAACAAAAGTTGATAAAAATCACGTGACTGTGGTTATAAATTATATATATATATGTATATACAAAAGAAATGTAAAATAGCAGATAAATCTCAATTTACTCGAGTGTGAGACTGGTTGTTGTATATATATATTATATATGTGTATATGAACTTGTGTAGCCTAATGAATAATCAGACTAACGAAGCAGTCACGATTGCGCGCTAGAGAACGCAAGCAATGCGATTAACGAGCAAACAAAAAAGAAACTTGATTGTAAACATTGCAGCGCACGTGGTATGGGAGCACACGACTAAATTGCACACACGTGTACTCTCGCGATCCTAAAGAAGACGAAGAAGAAGAAGAAGAAGAAGAAGCTTTTGCTGCCGTTTGATATGTCCTCACACGTGAATCTCTTGCGGTGAATAATGTTCGTTTCTCGTATATATGTATATGTACATTTTGCCTCCCACGATCTTTATATAAGTGAGCTCCAGCAGAAAGTGGAAAATGAGGACTAAAAAAGCCACACAGGTCTTTTCTTCGAGCCTGTTGAGATCGCGACGTTTTGTGTGCCACTGGGCCGATTGAGCATCCTCGATTCTCTCCATCTTCACCATAAACCATGTTTCTTTGCTATATACATATATGCGAGGCTATAGAATAAAATATAGGCATAGCCCGAAAAGATCAAAAGGTTGAATGTTAAAACAACGTTGACAGAATGAAACCTCGGCGATTCGCAAGAACGGACAACCTTGACAATGGTGTAATTTCACCGCGTTTTATCCGTATTCCAATCTACATTCTTGTTTCTCTCAATGGCCTTGCCCCGCACAACCTTCTTTTAATATGTCCTTCGAAATTCTTTTTTTTCTTTTGTCACCACATGAAAAAATAAATAAAGTTCTTAAAATTGTTAAACAAATTTAGATTTGATAAATTTTAATTGATAATAAATTTCAATGGATTTTTTTTCTGCATGTTACGGACGTAGAAGAGATTGAGAAATATAATAATAACAAAATAATTTTGTTAATCATACAAAAATTAGGTTTATTTAACAAAAAAAAGTGGCAATTTTCTAAGTGTAAATCACAGTGTGTACATACTGGAACTGTACGTTAGAATACTTTAGACCCTAAAGAAAACATTGTTCTAGAAAAAGTGTTATAATTTTGTTACAGAACAGTTGTAGAACTATGATTTATATTTATTCTGTAACATTTGTTCTATAGGGGTCAATTACGTATTTTTTTCGGATCTTACTTTCAAAATTCCGCGTATTCCAGATTCCGGATTCCACTGTCAAAATTCCGTATTCCATCCCACATTCGGAAAGTGGAATCCGGAATGTGGAATATTGGATCCGAAATACGGAATTTTAAAAGTGGAATCCGGAATATGGAATCCGGAATGTGAAATGTGGGATGTGGAATCCGGAAAAAGTTACGTAATTGACCCCCTGTATCCCGATCGTTCCTCAACGTTTTTCCTAATTCAATTTTCTAATTGTATATATTTCTAATAAACATTTTTCTTAATATTTACGTTTGTCTTATAATTTTTTCCAGAAGTACATTTTTCCAAATACGAATGCAGTGAATTTATTCAATTAAATTTTATTTGAAATTGTTTTTCATTCCACAAAATTTGTATCTCTGCACGGAAAAACTTTGTTCAAGTTGTTTTGTTCCTCAATTGTTCCTCAATTTGTTCAGGAACTGAGAATATAAAAATAATTTAAGAAATCTTATTGACATTTCTTTGAAAAATTCTAAGCAGTGTATTTCTATAAGAATTGCAAAGAATTTCAAGAAAACTTCCTAAACCTAAATCTACAACAAACTTGTAAAAGACGTTCTAGAACATTTGTTCTAAATTAATATGTTAGAATTTTAGATAAAGTATTTTAGTATAATTTAAATTAGAACTTACATAAAAATTCTAAATTTTTGTTTTGTAAAAGATACATAAAAATTCTATAGCAATATTAGTTTTAAAAATATTGAATATATAACAATTCTAGAATGTTTTAGAACATTGTTCTGTAATAATACTTCCTTTATGAAGAAATCAATAAAAATGTGTTTTTTTTTAAACTAATGTTGTTACACAGAATTGTTATGGATTTGTTCTAGAATATTGACAAAATTAAGGAAACAGTGGTTTTGAAAAAGAAAATCACTCGGCTTCTGCGACTATATGGTTCCCGTTAAATAAACAAGTTTAAAACAATAGCAAATTCCCAGATAATAATTTCATGTCTCTTGGAGAATCACTATAAAAAGATTTGAGAATCACAAACATCGTTTGAAACGCAAAACGACAGTGAGGTTTTGATTTTGGTTTCTAACGCTAAAGAGGAAGTGTGAAGATGATGATGATGATAATAATAATAATCCTGGGACCCATTCTCAATGTACGTGAGAAGAAATATGTGCGTGCGTAGAATGTGGCACACTGTTAAACCGTCACAGCAAAGGTATATATATATATATAGTTAAACTATGGAATCGCAAGATAAAAGTATAATGACATCAGTTGTATGGTGTGACGTAGTGCAATGGCGTATCATATTCAGAAACGAATCTATGTAACCTTGATTATATTATAATGTATAAATACATATACATATATTATATTTTTCATCTGAATTGTGCTTTTATTGCAAATTAGGCCCCGAAGCTCAAACTAATGCTGCGTCATGACGATCATCAGTGACGATGCAACTACTTAGATATTACAGTGTCTGTAAAATTGATTCGAAAAAAAATAAAAAATAAAGCCATATTCAATATACAAGTTACATTTACGCGAGTAAGATAAACACCTTTCTATAAGAAAAAAAAACACATCATAAACAGTGAATCAAATTTATACACTATACAAACACGGACATTGCAAAATGGAAAATGTTCCAGAAGACTTCCTTTCTTGGACTTAAGTGGAAGTCATTTCGAGTCGCGAATCGTTCTGCTAACGGAAGACCTTTGATGTTGCTTTTATGTCATCATAGTTGACGAACGAGTCGTGTGATTTGAATTACAGAAAAAGAGAAATTTCAGAGAATGAAAATGGCCTGAAAAATGAGAAAGAGGTAGATGACAATAAAAAACAAGAATGAAGAGCTACAAAGGGAGGGAATGAAACAAACAATGAAGAAAACAAAAAAGTAGCAATGAAAGAATAAAAAGAAGTAAAAAATGAAAAATATTGTGTTGTAGGAAGAATACTTACTCTATGGAGGAAGCAAAAAGAAATGGAAAAGGGAACAAAAAATAATGACAAAGAAAAAAGACAATTTCATTGCGAATTGAAAAAGTCGAGAAAGTTGATGAACTTTATGGAAAATAATCGAAAATATACTGCAATTGTTTGGAATGCTTTTTTTCTCTATGCTTTTTACATTTTTTTTTTTTTTTTTTTTAATATACAATAATGGAGAATGTATTTTCCCATCTGGGATCTTCATATTGATTTACTTCAGTCGTTAATTACAGTTTACTGCCGCACGGATCGAAAGGATTAACAACCTGTCACAATTACCTGCTCTTTAAGCAATTTTCCGCTTTGGAATTTCGATTACAGTTGAATATTTATCCAACTTATAAATTTTCTCTTATTATGACACAAATATTTCCATTTCAAAATGTCGACTCACTGATATTGTAATATTCATATATAATATATGTATTGTCGATAAAAAATAATGCAAGTGATTATCAAACGGAATTTATTATATTCGAATATCGTTTCTTCTAATCGCAACTGTAAAAATAGAAGAATTTGAAAAAGTTTTCTTATTAAATAAAAATAAAAAGCAAGAAGAAATTATTTTTATGCGAAAAACTGTAAAAAAAACCATGACTATAATAATGTTAATAAAAATAATACGATATAATAAAAAAATATTAATAGAAGTTATAGAAGAATATAAAGAAGAAACAATAAATAAGAGTAAATAATTGTGAGACTAAAAATTACAATTTCTATAAAAAGCGTGAAATGTAATAAATCTATACTTTATTAATAGAACAGTAGAAAGGAAGAAAATATATATATATAAAGAAAGTGTGTGAAATATAAACCAGGAATGTCAAATGGAACCCAACCGCAAATGTCTCTATTTCATATGACTAAACGCAAAAGCACAACACTGAAAAATAAGCAATAAATAGCTTTTATGGTTTACTAAATATATTTAATACTTCGTAATAGAAAATAACAAAAAAATAACGAAAAAAAATGTAATTTATCGTGATGTGAAAATCGTCACAGCGTGCAATCAATTCTATTGGTATAACCGTTATCATTTTATAAGTGTTGAAAGCATTCAGGATGTCTAAATGATTTTTTTCCTACATCTTCTTCGTGACAACAACAACAATAACAACAACAACGTGTATTATAATTTTCATTTAGAAACTTAATGAAGTTTTATAATATCTTTTAAGATAAAAAAAAAATGTAATAAATGTCATAAGTTTTTAAAAAAATAATTAGTCCTTTTAGTAGTGAAGATAAAATTTTGTTTCGTACTTTATATATATATATGCAAAAATAATGATTTCATCTCCAAATAAAGTTTCATTAATTAATTGTGATAATCAAATTCAAAATTGATTGACTGGGAAATTGTGTTCTTAATTTTTTTTCGGCTGATTCACGCTGTCTGGCGGATGTCGGATTTACCTACTTGACAAATAATACGGTTACTTCCTAAGACAATTTATCATTCACCTGACAATTTATCATTCACATAAATATATCTTGTTAATCGTATAGCAAAGTGTCAATTAAATGACAAAAAAGTACAGTTTCTTTGAATGAAACACATTTTTATTATATTTTAATAAAATGTATTATTAATTCATAGAAGAAAACGTATATTTTGGATACTTTATACTTATTTTAATTTTATACAAAAAAAAAATATTTTTTGCACTTTAATTACAATATTACAATTAAATAATAACGTGACTGCAAAAATAAAAAAAGTTTTATAAACTGAATAGAAAAATAATAATGAAACAGATTTTTATGAAATAATAATTTTTTTAAATAAAATAAATTAACAAGAAAATATAAGGTATTAAAGAGCGTTGCAGATTAAATTAAGACCATAAAAAAGTTTAATGTATCCATTTTTTGTATTAAATTTGTTTTTGAATTTCGTAAATATATAAACGTTTTTAAGCCTAATTTTTAAAAGTTTTCCAAATATTTAATCTTCTCTAAATTTCAATTAGTGATAATTCATTACATAATTTAAATTAGTAAAAATTTCTTCTAATTTTTATAATCATTTTTCACTAAAACTTTTGTTAAAAAAAAATTTACTAAATCAACTAATAATATTTTAATAAAATTTAGTGAAAATTTCTACTAATTTAAATTAGTGAACAAATTCTCACTAATTTTTTTAGAGAATACCCTTTTGCCTTTATAAATTCTGATTCGTATAATTTCTTGTTGTTTCATAAACACTTTACTTTCTCATAGAGATGAAAATATTTGACAATTCAATTAGCAGATTATAACATTGAAAGCTACACTAATACTTTTATACAATAATTTAGAAAAAATAGTCTTTTTCAAAAATTTTGGTTTTTAATTAATATAACTCTAATTTAAAATACAATTTCGACTCCATCGAAATAAGTAAAAAAAAAAAATTACAGTAGAAAATTTTCACCAACACAATATTATTTCTTTTAAGATAAAAAAAGCAATATAATAGTAGAAATACAAAAAAAATTCAATATCTACATTAGAAAATAAATTACAAAAAATAATGAAATACAAAAAAAGAGATGGAAATAAAATATATAGAAATAATGATAATAAAAAAAAAAAAAAAAATGAAATAAAAAAAGTGAAATTTAAAAATAATTTGAAAAATAACATAATCTAGAGACATAAAAAAAAGATAAACATCGCATAAAGAGAACTGACAGAATCACTCAATCAAAACCGACACTGACGTGCGCAATTTAATCGAAACCACTAATCTTTGAAAACAAGGAGCTAAACTCTTCTTCCACATCCCTCGGGATGAAAACTTATCGCGAGCGCGGCAATTTCACTCGCTCTCAAAGTAAGCTAGACTAGTTACTCTTACACTGCACGTTTTCAAACCACGGAAAGAGAGAAAAAAAGAGAGAGAGAGAGAGAGAGAGAGAGATAAAGAGAGAGGTCACGGAAGAGATCATGAGGCCAACAGTGAAGCACCAATAGAGGTACACCATAAGTCCTTCTCCCCTTTTGAGCCCACTATTTTTCGCCCCCAACTATCGTTGCTTCCAATTTTCATTGGATCATCACAATCTAATTCTCACAAACATTTTCTCAAAAACTTTCAAATACACACTCGTACACTATATGTATAGTCAACTAACATACCCTGTCGGGATTGGCATGCCAATTTTTTTCTCTCTCTCTCATTCTCTCTTTTCCTTTTCTTCCCCTCGCGCATCTCTCAACATTGAATAAAGGATTAACGAATAGATTTGCAGCGAAGAACTGCTGCTATCTCGACTTGAGTGGGTCTCTGTGTCAGGAAGGTCACATGCCCGCCGCCATCAGATTCACATCCCATCCCCGTCTCTCTTTTCTCTCTCATCGCGATCCCGTACAACGAGAGCCAATGGGCTCTTCACTACCACGTTTTATAACTACGTGAAACATAGATTCATGAATACATATATATATATATATATATACACACAATATGCCATCGCGATGAGAATATGTATGGTACAATCACATCCTTACATACGTGGGAGCCTTGCTCATCCCCTTACCTTACCGCATTCTATCCTCCACCTTGTAGGTATATATCAGCCTGGATGCTTGGTCCTGATGCCAGTCTCTTCCAGTTTCGATATAACACATATTTAATCGGTGGTGCGCGTATTATCCTCTCTTGAGGGTGTTTTTTTTTCTCCATAAATTCAATATTTTCTATTCGATTTTGTTTGGAACAATATATTTTTTTTTTTCCAATCCATTATGGATAAGTGTTTTCTTTTGTTGCTGATGATTATCAGTGTGGCGACGTGCTTCACAACACCAACAAATGTTGATGAAAATGTCCTCGAAAAGGGCTATCGATCATTGTATCGCGTCTATGAGGAGTGTCAACAGCGAAATGTTGGTGTGACGCCGTGTTTAAAGAAAAAAGCCATAGCCTTCTTTGATCGTATTGGAAAAATTGAATCGTTGCCAATTGCTGAAAATCTTGAATTAGTAAGATCGTCGGATGCGCCTGAAATCATTGAATCGCCAACTGCTTCGGCTGATCTTGAAACATTGGGACGACAATCTGGTGCATCGAGAGATGAAATTCTCAATGATATTCTCTTTGAGAAGGTGGCAAATTTAATGAATGGATTTAATGTTCAAATCAGATTGCCAAAAACATCATCAACTGAATTAAAACGCAGTATTGAGGAGGGTAGGGGTAAAATGAAAAAAATGATGGGAATGATGATGATGGGTATGGCTATGAAAATGGCAGCAATGGTACCGCTTGCAATGGGTGTACTATTTTTATTGGCCGGCAAGGCGCTTATCATCAGTAAAATTGCCCTTGTTCTGTCAATGATTATTGGATTGAAGAAACTATTGTCGCAAAAAGGAGGCGGCGGTGGTGATCATGGTGGATGGCAACAGGGAGGAGGAGGCGGTGGTGGCGGATGGGATCGAAGTCTCAAGGGGGGTATTGTCAATCCTCTCAATATGGAACTTTCCGATTCTGATCGTCAATATGCGCAAAATCTTGCCTATAATGGAGCAAGGCAAATGCCACTCACGAAATAATTGTATACTATTAGAGACAATTAAAAAAAAAAAAAAAGAAAAACGATTCGATTTCCGAGTTTGCTATATGAAGGAAAAACAATTTTCCTCGAATAAAAACTTTTTGTGCAAAAATTATTTAAGTAACATTAAAAATAATACAAAAAAAGTTAAATCGTGCAAAAATTGTGTTGGAGAAAATTTAAATTGCAACTTAAAATTTCAAATTTCAAATTAAAATAAAGTACAAAAAGAAATTTAGTTACAAATTAAATTTTCTTTGTGGCTTAAATTCTAAAATATTTCTAGGAAAGTAATTTCTATATAATATCAGTGTAAACAGAATTTTTTTACTTTCATTATATTATTCAACTCTAGTAATTTTTGTTGTTAACAATTTTGCAAAAAAAAAAAAAAAAAAAAAATTCTATTTTATCACATTGTTATTGTTGTACAAAGGATAATATAAATTTTTACAAAGGTTTCTTTTTACAATATTTATAGAAAATGACTCTACATCGACGAATTTTGTTTATTTATTATAGAAAAAATTGTCCATTTGTGATAAAGAATTTTCTTTTTCTATTTATTATTTTATTTAAACAAATAATTGAATTTTAATTATGTACATAATGTGAAAAAAATTAATATTTTTTCTTTTTTTTTGGGAAATTCTCTATCAAACAAATTGTGACAATTTTTATCGTAAAATAGTGGCCATTTTAATTGCGATGATAATTTACGATAAAGGGAATTTTCTTCTTTTATGAAAGACACGACAAAAAAATTGTCAAAATTTGGAAAATGACATTTTTTCTCATTCACGACAAATACAAACACAAAATTTTTCAACCAAATAATAGAAAATAATTTTTATAATTCGCAAAATGAGAAAATATTTAATTTTTACAGTTGACGATAAAGAAGTGACATTTGTAAATTATGATAAAATTTGATAATTGTTTGTACACTCAGAAAAAAAATTATTTTGAATCAAAGGGAAATTTCTTTAAATCAATCAATTTACAGTACAAAAAATATTTTATTAATTTATCAAATGTTTTCTATAATATTTAGAATCTTTGTTTAATTTAGCTTTTTTCTATCCTTCTGTTATAGAATATTTTTATAAAATCTTTCTTTTATAGATTTTTTTTTAAATATAATCTTTCTTTCTTTGAAATTATTTCTTTTATAATTTTTCATTGATAAAGAATTTTATCTTTGGTTCATAATTTTTTTCGCTCTCAAAAAGAAACATTTCTTTGTAACAAAATAGCAGTATTTCATTTTGAAACAAATAAAACAAAAAAAAAACACAGAGTAATCGTTTTGTTGAATTGATAAATTTTTTCCCGGTGTATATAATTAAAAAAAAAAGAGTTGAAGGACTAATTATCTAATAGAAATTTTATACAGTGATCTATATTTGTATGGTTTAAATTTTTTTTCATCATTCTTTGTTTTTTGGCTACATTTTGGTTTTCAGTTATTTTTTTCACGTTTTTTTTTTTTCTTTGCAATCTCGGAGTAGCAATCGTTGATGATAAAACACACTAACCCATGAATCGGTAGCAAGAGCTATAGCGATTAGCGATAATACCGGTAAAATAGTAGTTTGTAATATATAGAAACAAAAGATAATGACAGGCGCCTCGAGTCTCTTTTCCCCTTGAGTTAATATATATTGTATATGTGAGGGAATGGATGATTCAAGGAAGAAAGAGAATCGATTGCGTGCAAGAAACATTAATGTACCCGCACTGAGTTTAATGACACTAATCGGTTAACGGAATCAGGAAGACATATATATACTGTATGTTGCGTCAATCTGCGGAATCTCATAATCATGCAATGTTTCTTTTTCATTGTATATATATGAGCTCACAAAATACTCGCACAATTCAATGTCAAGTTTAATCCTCTCTTCGGCCTCCACAACATTTTTCTTTCTTTTTTTTTCTTTTCTTTTTATATTTATTTTTATAGTTGTTACTTGTCACTATTCTTTTTTTATTATAATTAATGGTAATTTTCTTTTACAATAAATAATGAAAATTATTAAAATTGTATTACATATTAAAATACAATGTATTACTAAACTTAAAATTATTTTATTTGGGAAAGAAATTATTCTACTATACATAAAATGAAATTACTTTAATTTTCATAAAAGAAAACATTTTATTATTTATAAAATAATAAAATGATTACTATTTGATTTTTACTATATATTCGTTTATATTTATTTTTCTACTTTCATGGAAATTAATTAATTATAAATTAATTTCTTTCACTGAAATTAAATTCCTCGTTTGAATTTAAATGCTGAAGAAAAGGGTTAAATTGGGTAGAAAATAACAATTTAGAAGCATATGCCTGTCAGTGTAATCGCGTATACTTGGATGTAAATCGAATAATAACATTATTTATTTGTATTTGTAAGTCGATGTAAGACGATGCAAAAGTGTTGCAAAATAAAGTCATTTGTTTATAATTAATTAATTTTCTTTTTTTGCCTCAAAAATTGAATCATTTTTATATTTTCCTTCCTTTAAAAAAGAACAGGTCGAGTACCTTATTATAGTAAAATTTGTGAAAATTCACTTGGCTCTCAATCCCAAAACTGCTGCAAAGAGAGCGAAGAAAAAGCCAGCAAGTGCTGTTGTTGATGTTAATAAAATTACCCCTCCAATCATAATAGGAACTAGTGCCATTAGCTTCATTTTATACGCCATTAGAAGAGCTAACATCTTGTTATTGTGCTTGTTTCGCTTCCTTGGTTCAACTATAAAGTAAAATTAACTAATTAATAACATATATTAATGAAAATAATATATAAAATTATTTTTTCTTCAATTTTTTTTTTTTTCATTTACAACTAAATGGGAAAAAAATTCCTATCAAACAAGTAAACAAAAATATTCAACGTTAAATTAAAATAAATATTTCAATAAAAAAAAAAAAAATTTCTAATACTGTAAAACAAAATAAAAATATCCTTTGAAGTCCCTCATTTAACACTTGAATGGAGATGTGTTAATCAATTAAAATTGATTATAACTGAATAGGAAGCTAACAAGATATAATAAAATGAACTATAAATTAAAAGAAACAGTAGCGTTAACGAAGACGAAATCAATGGAAAATATTGCCCAATAAAATTATTGAGAATTCTAGGTTAGTGGACTGTGAAAAAATAGCAGCAGCTCATTACATACGTAATATTGCCCCAGCGGTTTATTCTAATTAGATTTAAATATTCCAAGGGAAGTAGTTCACTTTAATCTAAACAAAGAATCTTTAACATCGAGACAATGGAGCATGAAGACAAAATAAAAGAAAATAATAATTATTTTTTTTCCGCAGGAAACATTAATCTTTGAAAAAGAAAATTTTTTTTTCTGTACAAATATCAACAAATATTTTTTTTTTTTACTGCTATATTTATAAATATAGGAATTTTTTTTTCATGACTTAAAAGTATCAATCACAAAATAATGTCTTCGTTATTTTTTTTTTTTTACTGAACATAAAAGTACGAATTATGGTTTCAATATATATATATATGTGTGTATAAATAAGATGGTCTGTAATTTTTTATCAGATACATGATTGCATTTGAAGTACAACGTGGACGCGAAGATATGGAAGGAGTTTATGGAAACGGGACTGCCTCCGGATAATCGTGGCAGGACGTGACTTCTTTCAGTCTATTATTTTCATTCGATAATACACGATTAGATTTGAAATAAATGGTGCTGCACGTTCATCGACATAAACGTTGTGAAAAAGACATGTAGCGACAATCAATTTTTCTTTCCAATCCCGTTCAAAAACCTGCATGATTTTCAAAATCAAAATTATAATTTATTAATTAAATTATTAAATATTAAAATGGCACAAAAAAAGTAGAAGATATAATTATGATGAAAAATTGTAAAATTATATCAATTTTGATTATTGTAAGTTAAGTTTATAATTGAAAAAATAAATAAAACTAATTTGATAAAAGATCTACCTGCTTTTTTGACATACATCTGCACATTTTTAAAGGCAGATTGCGCATCATCGATAGCATCGCTAGCATCATCGAGAAAGCCTCTACTTTGAAAATGTGCAATTTGCATTTTTTGACGTGGATTACTATCTATGAAATCGATTTCATCGGATGTCACGAAACCCCGAGGAGAATGATCGGCTCCATTAATTTTACTAGAATCCTTGTAAAATGAAAAAGAATGTTGAAGGGCCTCTACCACGCAAATCACAGCCAACAGCATCACGACTAGATTCACTCTCAGCATCATGTTTCACGATCGTTACCACAGGATCATTGAGAGAGATGGGGCGGGGGAATGTGATCCTTTACTTGATAGTGAAAGCACCCAAAGGACTTCCTATTCGCCAATCACTTTTATCTTCATTCCATTGCATCTTGTATTTCTCTTATTCCTTTATACTTTATTTCACTTTACTATACTTTTATTTACAAAATTTCCTTCCGTCACTATCAAAAAAAAAAAAATATTAAATAACAGTCACACTTGAATTAATTTGCTTAAAAATTTTGTCGTATATATTTGACAAGCACTTATATATTCTGATGATTAATGAAATTACGATAAATTGATGATAATTGAAACTAAAATTGATTTGACATTTTAATGATGAGACATTAAATGATAAAAATATTAAAAAGATATTGATCACAATAGCAACACACAGTACCACGAACGATCGTGAACTAAACTTGATCTAGACTCGATTTTATGATGAAACTGCGGGGGGGTTATGATGGTACCAAAGAGGGACCACGCTTGAGTTGCTATGAAAATCGGCAGTCCGTGAAAAATTAGACTGAAGATTATAATGCGTGTTGTAAGTACTATGATCGACAGAACGAGCGATCGTATTGCTTGGTGGGTTGGCAATAAGTCCTTAAACGCATATAGTCGTTTGATCTATGTATAGAAGAAGGGATAATATGTTGGGTAATGACGGCTGTTTCCTCTGTACGCGACTTGTTCCTTTTTTCGGAGACACGCTCCGCAGATATTACGGCCATTTATACGTGGCTTTCAAACTTTTTTGACCTGATTATAAATATATATATATATATATATATATATATATATATATATATATCTACGAGAGGAAAGTGATTGATAGAAATATATCGTCTTCTTTGCAATTGACATTATATACCTCAACCTCGATTCACTATACAGATTTTCAATTATAGTCTTTCTATATAGATCTCTCGCACGTCGATGGGGACTAATGATACGTGAACGCAGGAGCAATGAGGTTTTTTCTATTGTTCTCACTGGGAAAGTGATATTTTATAAATAGAGTTTCGAATTATTTTTATATCCGAATGTAAATATAATTGTCTCAATATTAGTAAATGCTTTTCTTAGAAATAAAAATTTCAAGAGAAATATATTTTTAATACATTCATCACAGTACTGAGAAAATCGTTCAGTAGAGCACACCAAATTTTTTTTTTTGTTAATAATTATTGATTTTGTTCTGTCAATCAAATTTGTTGATTAATTCAATAAAACCAATTTACCTATCATGATCCTAACATGAATCTGCACTAAATATACTTAATTCAACCTTAAACCTTCTTTCATTCTACATCTACTTTGACATTAAATTAAACCAGATTACTGCAAGATTGCTCAGTAAGCTTGCACGGTAAGCATGTAGCAAGGTTACTTATTGTGCAAACTTGCAGTAACCTTATACTTCAATCTTTCGGTAAGCTTATCATGCAAGCTCTCGGTCAGGTAGAACATTTGAAGCTTGCGGCAAGGTTGGCAATATTGCGCGGCAAGCTTGCCGTAAGGTTGCTGCAAGTTACCCATGTTTCTGTCGTGGGGCTAACAAAGAAAACTGGTTTGGGCCAATTCAAGAGTGTAATGGTTTGTCAAGGATTTGCCCTACTTAGGGCAAAACTTGCCAGGGACATGAGAGTTTTTCTGTCAATTACTCTATATTTTGCTGCGGATAAAAATATTCTTCTCAATCAATAATATTTTTGTTAAAGAATTAAAAATTACTGACTTAAAAACATCTGCCATAGAATTTGTTAAAACTGCTACAAATTCTATTATAAAATTATTTTTTAAATCAATAATTTTTGCTTATACAACAAAAATGTTATTGATCAAGCAGAATATTTTTTTCAGAGTATAATGTTATCACGTTAAAGTAAAAATGATATTTTTTTCTTTGTAAACAAGTTTAATAGACCAAAATATATGAAACATATTTTTATGTAACAATCAAATCATTTCTTCTGTGATTATTCTTTTGACGGAATTACTTTAAAATTAATTAATTTATTAGTGTATCAATGTATTTTGATATTGTTATTATTACCATTCACAGGTATTTGGGTCATTCTCACAAAAAGGACAAATGACACGTTCATGACATTATTTTTAATAAATAATTATAATAATTGAAAATGTTGCGGGCCTTATTATAGAAGTCAACAGAATTTAATAAGATTTTATAAAAAAAAATTGACAATTTTAAATAATTGAATATAATCATGTTTATATAGTGTAAAAACTCCCCTCCGTTACCGTTCGCGAAGTAAGTTTTATTTAAAGAAGAATTATTGCATTCATACTGCAATAGGAAAACATCTTTTGTCTAGTAACATCTACTAATTACATTATTTATAATTGATTTATAAAGTGTAAAACAGAATATTTGTAAAATATTTTTTCCTAGAATTAAATAAGTTTTGTTCGCAAAGTAAACTCCCCTCCGTGACCAATTACAAATATAATGAGTAAATGAAAAAAAAAATGATAATTGAGAAATGAAGAATTCAAAAGTGTTTACAGTGACGATGTTGTTTTGGTCAGTACACAACATCATGAAAGAAAAGAAAACAATAAGTGTCAGAAAGATTTTTAGTTTCGCAATGTTCGTCGACACAAAAAAACTCCCCTCCGTGACCACTTTAAATTTAGTTTTTTGATAAATAAATAATAAATATTATTAATAATTTTTAGAATATTCTTTTAAATATCGCGAATACTATTATTACTTTTTTTATAAAATTTATTATTTTCATATTAGAATTAATAAATTTTGGCTACGCCTAAAGGAAGAAAACTCCCCTCCGTGATCGCTAGTCACATCCATCGATTATAAAGCCTCATGCAAAAAAATGCACCTTTTTCGTCCCTCGAATTTTGAAACTTTCTTTATGCCAAATGGTAACATATGATGACCCAATAATCCCTGCAAAATTTCAAGATGAGCATATGCCCCCTTTCGGAATTACAGGGGGTCAAAGGGGGCCATGTCAAAAAAAAGAACATGTAATATTATCGAATAATAATGTTAAAAAAATCAAACGAAATCATTCCTTCAAGATTTTCGTCTGCTGATTACGAATTTGAAGTCCGTTTTCAAAAATTCCAAATGGCGGAACCTATATGGTGGACAACAATTTAAAAAATCGATTCGATTGACCTGAAAATGGTTACTCGGAGGTTTTTTGGGTCGCTGATTACGAATCTGAGGTCCGTTTTTCAAAATTCAAAATGGCGGATCCAATATGGCGGACTACAATTTCAAAAATCAATCCAATTTACTTGAAAATGGTTACTTGGGTTACCTTCAGATTTGTGTTCACCGTTATTGAAACCCCCTAATTAACGATATTGTAGCCAATTAAATAGATTTAAAAGATAATTGTCCGACATTTTGAATTTTTTAAAACTGATTCCAGATTCGTAATCAGCGACCCCAAAAACCCGCGAATAACCATTTTCAAGTAAATTGGATGGATGTTTAAATCTGTCGTCCGCCATTTTGAATTTTTAAAAACGGACCTTAAATTCGTAATCAGCGACCCCGAAAACCCGCGAATAACCATTTTCAAGTAAATTGGACTGATTTTTGAAATTGTCGTCCGCCATATTGGATCTGTCATTTTGAATTTTGAAAAACTAACACCGGATTCGTGTTTAGCGACCCCAAAAACCCTCGAGTAACAAGATTTAAACGGATTCGATCATTGTATCGGTGACAAAATATTAAACAATTATTTTATATTAAACAATAATGTTCATAAAGATCGTAACAACGTATTTTAGAGACTTATTTAGGTCCTTCTCTTCACATAGCAATAGTCATAACAGTGGTTTTGAACTTTTTTTTTTTTTTTTCTTAATTCAGCATTTGTCCTTTTCGAGAGATTCACCCATTTATAATGTCTACAGTTTAAATGTTAAAATTAACGTTATTTAGTATCTTCGTTTGCATTATCATTTTCAAATTTCACGCCTTTTTTCTTCCTCTATATTTTTTAACTCTTAAACTATTTAAATCTTTTTCGTGTTTTCTTTTCCGATCCATTGTTTTTAATTTAAAAATCGACACACTGATCCCAAAATTGACATTCAAATTTGCAGGTTAGTCATCTCAAAACAGTGACTTACTAAAAATGTGGAAAATTCAAGTTACTTTGGGGATAGCCAGAGTTGTGGAAAAACTGGCAAAAGCCATTTCAAAACCTCAATTTATGATTTTATAGGTAAGGCGAGAAACAAAAAATAAAAGTGTCAGAACCGAGTAATTTTGGGGCATGACAAACTTGTGGAAAAACTGGCAAGGGCCTTGTCATAGCCTTAATTTAAATGTGGCTAAATAGGGCAATTTCTGCTCGGGGACATAAGCTTATTTCTATCTTAATTTAAATCAACTTTGATACTACATTAAAATTACATCTACCTTACATTAACCCTACCTTAAGTTACACTTACTCTGAGCCAACATTGAACATACTTTAACGGCCTTGATTCACGAAACCCGTGAAACTTAATTAACGATTTAATTAATTTTTAATTATCATAAATTAATTCATAATTAACATCAATTAATAATTAATTATAAACAACTATAACTAATTCACCCCTGACATTAATCTTTTCAATACCAATCTTAACCCAGTGGGCAAAAAACTATGTTCGTTCTAAAAACGTTTTAAGGACGTTTTTAGAACGTTTCATGTCCGCCAAATAATGTTCTGGAACATTTTAAGAACAAGGATGTTCAAATAATATTCCAGAACATTATTTGGCAGACATGAAACGTTCTCAAAACGTTTTTCGAACGAACATGGTTTTTTGCCCACTGGGTAATCTATTATATGATAACACAAGTCAACATGAAATTTGCGTCTGACCTTTAAGGTGTTCTGCCGTCCCAACAAGAGTAGCAGTAACTACATTTTGGTTAAGTCACTTATTGGTGGCAGTGGCAGTGGCAAGTAGGTGACTCATCCTAAATGCAGATACGGTTATTCTTGTTGGGCGGCAGTGTTTTGTATGCTAGATATATCGACAAATATGATATGATTTTCATTCGAAATAATTATATAATATTGTCTTACAAAACAGTGGGAAAAAGTTTAAATGTGAACTCTGTTATTGTTTGTGTTATGTTATTGAAAACACTGATAGATATTTCTTGACAAGCGTGCGTTGGTGGTATATATGCGAATCTTTCGCCACCTATGGGGATGTATGAGTACTTGTCATGAACTTCCGATAAATCTTGGCACCACTTTAGTGAAGTACATGCATGGGAGATTGCAATCTATTCTGCATGAGCATCATGTTTACACTCTCTTGATGACATTTTAAGCGATATAACCTCCTTGACAGACTTGTACACAATAATATGCGTTGTCTGCGACTCGAGAGCCATCTGTAGGTATCGTGTAAATGTAAAAATACTTTTCCTTTTCCCGCGCTTAGTTTCAAATTTTTAATATATTAAATCGTCAACTTATTCTAACTATAAAGATTAAAAAATCTAGTATTATTAGTATAACTACTACAAAAGCAAACTTTAA